GAGCCCTGCAATTCCTCGCTCACGTCACTGCTTGCAAAAGGGCCTCAACGAGAACGAACCCTGGAGGGTAATTGGCCTACTCTGCCACACTGACCAGACGAGTTGGAATGTATATATATACGTTTACAGCATTTGTTAACAGATTAATTGTGCAAGATACATAAACTGTTCATTTCCATCATCACGATCAACGTACATATTTGCATAATGCATTAATATAGGGGCACTATTTAGGCGTTTTTTGAATTAGTGCTTGCAATTCGCTAGAACCTTTTGAGACCCTAATATGTATACATCCATTTAACTGTAATGCCTTTAATGACGTCCGCTATCATACACTTATTAAGCAATTCCAACCACATCATGATGAACTATTTACTCTCTGCGGTGGGTACAAATCCACATTAGCTTTGTCTCGGGTCTAAATACATTTATTGTCTGCCTGGCGTTTAGCGTATCCCGAGTCTTCTCGTGCACGCGATCTATCATGTATGCCGTGATCTACTCGCAATATATTTATATTTGCACATTTTCCCAGATGTATATTTTCCTAACTTTGTTCATTTACCATGACATGAATTCTAACCCTTTGCCATAGCAGATCACAGGAATACTGTGCCCTGCAACGAGGGCAACGGTGGATGCACACGCTAGTACTGCGTAATGTATGTATATGTATATCTGTGTATACAACACTTGCCGTGTGTGTAAATCCCAACGAATGCTGAACACAATTGTTTATTTGATATTTTTTAAAAAGCTCATGTTTATAGATTGTACGATTATTTGTCAATCCACTGCCGGATGAAGGCTTCCCTACGCCGTATCGGGTCATGGGAATTGTTTGACGATGCTTCAGCGTTTAGGCGTTGGTCACAAAGCTGCCCGTGTTGTTCGTAGAGAAGGCTCAACGGAGCTCGCAATTAACCTAAAAGAGGCCAAATCCCACCAATCTTGCAGATTGTGAAAAATGTTTTTACGACATCGAATTATGCGTTTGAAGCAGTGCTTTTGTTTTGTCTGTGAGGATTTTACTTGGGGGCTACATCCCAAAGTGCATCTGCGTATCCTCAAACACACCAATTCATGTTTGTTTATTTACGTGCTATCAAGAAGCGGCATTGCCCGAAACGTTGCCTATTATATTTTCTCGTTTAAGGCCACAGTGTTATTGCCGAATATTCCGAGTTTTTTTGCATTAATTGTCATCGTGCACCACTGCTAACGCAGCAGCAGCATCACCAAAGAATTTGTTCAATTTTAAATGCGTTCGTTCATGTGGTTGTTCGGTACCGCCTGTCGTTGCGGTATTGCACGTCCGACGTTTCACTTCCACGTGTTGGGAGCTTCCTTCAGGAACTGATATCATACCGAACAACTCGCGGCACAGCCACGAAAACACACGCGAGGGAGCCATGCCAGTTGTAAATATCCTCAGCGGTGAGGGGACGGCAATGCGCATTATTCATCGCCTCACGTTCAGCTGTGAAGGATTCGAAAGGCGATGCGCGGGTGTCGCCCTCTGCACTTTGAAGAAACGTCGTCGCCAATTAAAAACTGAAAGGCAAAAATAAAAAGCCACGGCGAGATTTTGTCGCGCTTCTGGAAACCACCGCACGGCAAAGCGCACGAAGCGTCGCATCCAACGCCGTTGTATTACGATTCTGACGAATACAAAGGCATCGACACAAATCATAGACTCTTTAGCTCTAGCCAGCAACAGTTTAGTTTCAATTCGTTGCGCGTCTGCCTGTGGTTTGTGACGTGGTTTTATTCGCTTGTGAAAATTGTATGTTACGTGTATACATTGTCGGTGTTATTTGTGGTTATATAAATGATAATGTCCATCCCTTTTCTCACTCCACTGCTGGCTGACGGCCTTTAACGTCGTGTCAGCCATGGAGAGAAGGGGGAGGGGTGGGGGTTTGACCATACTTGACCATGCTGGTCAGATGCGGGTTGGTGAACGGTGGTAACCAGGAATTGTTGTTCAGATATCACTCGCCAAGAATGACCGTGCTGGTCAGGTGCGGGTTGGTCAACGGTGGTGACCAGGAATTGTTGTTCAGATATCACTCGCCAAGAATGACCGTGCTGGTCAGGTGCGGGTTGGTCAACAGTGGTGACCAGGAATTGTTGTTCAGATATCACTCGCCAAGAATGACCATGCTGGTCAGGTGCGGGTTGGTCAACGGTGGTGACCAGGAATTGTTGTTCAGATATCACTCGCCAAGAATGTTTGGTGTCCGTGACCGAGAGCCGAACTCATGTTGTTGGGTTTAAATCGCCGGGCGCTATTAACCGCTCCAACCATGTTTACGGCATCTAAATCGCCACTGTTGGGGGGGGTGGGGACATATGTGTGTTCACTGCTTTATCTTAACCCCCCTCGGATCATCATCATCATTATCGCAAGCGCCGTCCAGGGATATGTAAGAAGACAAACCCGCCTCGAGATAGCGCCCTGCTGGACAGGTGGTCAGACGCCACCGACCGCAGGCATCGCGCGATCCCCACCGATCCCACGTGCTCTCGATTTAAACACGCACAGCGCTACACCGGCAGCCTCACGCTGTGTCGTTTTTATATAAAAAGGGACCCATCCGGCATACCATGGAAATCGTTTACGGGGGAATGTATATGTGTACGCATGGATGTGTATATTGTATGTATGTTGAACTTCTCTCGCACCGTACACAGCCAACCGTGCTTGTCGGAGGTGGTATTCAATCGATTGACTATCTTGAAGACGCGTTCGGTCCCGTTACATCAAGTTGTTAATTTTGAAATGCTTTATGTTTAAGTTCACGCGTTCACGCGAACGGTGGCCTCTCTTAAATATTAAAGGGGGGGAAGCGGGCGCAGATACGTGCACACATCTGTCGGACATGTTGACAATGTCAGTCAAATCCTAATAATTGCATACATCACTTGTACAAGGATATCCGTGGGTTGTAAAAAAAAAAAAAAATTTGAGAGCTTTTTTTTTTACGGTTCACAGCCGCAATTATTAACATAACACCAACTCACGCGCAGTGACCGCATGCCCCGCCGATAATACCCGTAAACTAATTAATTCTAAACATTGCAAAATAATGCATTTGACATGCAGATGCGCTCGTGTGCCCGCCGCCCCTCACGAATGTCAAACTGGAACGCGCTGCATATCATAATTCTAGAGGAGATTGTACGATCGTATGAATTATGTTGAACGTTGTGAACCTCCTCCCCCCCCCCCACCCACCTCCCCCTCTCGTGTGCATCCGCTGCACGTGTGTCGCGAACCAACTGTAACACGAACACCCTTGCAAAAAAAAAGCGCAGCATTCGTGCGAATTATTGATCTCCTTCACACGAGATATCAAATGGGTGGTAATGCTGAGTTGCCTAGCGACTGAGGCCACTTGCACCCGTGAATTAATTAAACGCGAGGTGGCTGCCGGGACATGAGAGGAACAACGCGGGAATTTTTTTGTTTGTTTGCACCACCGTCGCTATACGGTGACTGCCGTATTCCCCGCCGGTTCAAAGAATAATGATAATTTATTTAATTAAAAAAAACACATGCATTGAGATTATTTGGATTGTTTTGCTTCTAGAAATGTCCACACGTTGAGCTATCATTCGCGGCCACGTCGCTTCCGAAAAATAAGTGAATAGCACCGTGAGCTTTACCTGCGAAAAGCAAAAATTTTTTTTAGTTTTATTTGAATATTTATTTATTTATTATTAAAGCGGTCTGCTTACCTTTTTAATATACTTTGCACTCCGATCGTGTTTTTTTTTAAATAGTGTTTGTTGTTGTAACCTTCGTGACCCCCGTGCCCCGACTGGACATTTGTGAAAAAGAGCTTTATAGCTCATCGGATTCCCCCCGGTATCAATAAATACTCCGATTCCGTGGGCTTCTCTTCTTCGGGGGGGGGGGGGAGGGGGGGCGGTGGAGGATCTGAACGTGTTTTTTTGTGGTATTCCACCGTTTAGTGCACGGCAGAGAGCGGAATTGAAACTTTGCACATTCTTGACACGGACAGCTCTCTCGTGCTGTCCGTGAGCGCGGCGGTGCGGGGGGACCCTGGACGTGTACGGCGATCGAAGTGTACCTACTGGGGAGTCATGCCCTCATTTTTCGTTCGCGACGTTTGTTTGCAGAAAACGCGGTCGCATTTCGCAAAACAAACCCCAAAAAAATGCACGCGTTCTGTACACACACGTTCGTACACTTGCGCACAATTCTGTACTCTTTGCTGACCCGCCCATACCGGACATCTTTGGGAAAAGAGCTTCGTAGCTCATCGGATTCCTCCAGGCTAAATAAACATTTTGATTCTGTTTGTGAAACACTCGAACCTGTGCGTACGTTTGAATTGTTTTGAACGTATCTAGCGGCTATAAATAGCTCGTCCGATTTATATTGCTGTGTTGTTAAAGAAAACGAACGATTTCTGTATTTACAGATTGTGTGTATATATATAAATACAAGCAATTCGTCTTCGCTGAAGGGGCAATACAACAACCAGGGATAAATATATATATAATTCGTGACTGGCTAATGACAACAACATCAAGGATTTATTGTATATATGAAAATTTATGTTGTCCAGATTCAGAAAAGCCCTCGTTGCGAATGACATCAGCCTACTACGTGGTTCCTCGTGGTTGTGCCTTGCGTGTAGCTCTGCGATTAGCACGGTTGACTATGCAGGGGTGCGAAAGAAGTTCAACATTCATATGTGCGATGTGTTTGCGGGTTGGATAGGAGCTGTTTCAGTGACTCGATTCAGAAGCCCACCAACACGCGGAGTGAAACGTCTGACATCATGCCTGATAACTGAACTCGGAAGCTCCCACTGGCACGTGGAGCGAAACGTCGGACGTCACGCCGAACAACACGCGGTTTCAAACCCGAAAACCACATATGGGAACAGCCAGATATACATCACAGCAATGGCATCGCTTCAGTATATAGCGAAACGTGTGACGTTTAGCAGGCAGAGGAATTAAAGATGATCGGTTTTATTATAAATATCTTGGGAATAACATCGTTATTTTATAGCAAAGGCACATTGAAGAACGCAGCTTTGAATCAATATATGTTCAATATTTTTTTCTAACTACTTTACAGAGCGATTATAGCTTATGGACATCCACCACTCTTTACACAATGTTATGTACACTACTGGGTTTTCGAACATAAATGAACTCCACAACTGACAGTGGTAGACTGGAACGCCTTAGGCAACTCAACACAATATAACGTGCACTTAAAACACGTGATGCAATTCGGTTACACGTTACGTGGGGTTTGGGAGGAGAAAAAAATAAACCTGTATAGAGACGTGCAGCTGATAAGTTGGATTAAGTCTTTATCTTTGGCCCATGAAGCCTGAAACAGAGAAAATCGATATGTGCTATATATACGAATTTAATGCATCAAGATAACATGTGGGGGGGGGGGGGGGAGGACTGGACTTTTTACGCAAAAGTGTATCTCTAAAGAACAGCACATTGAAGACGTTTGCTGTATATATAACAACAATAATAATAAAAAAACAATAACGAAAATCCCACTTGTTTTTTTCTTTCACAGGTTCACCATAAACAAGACGTCACAAATAAATATCGGTCGATGTACATCGTGTTTGGCGTTTACAGCTGTAAAGTGTTTACTCAGCATATACACGGTACTCTATATATATGCTACGCGTATGTATATACATACTTAACTTTATAAACAGATAAGGGAGCGCGCATTGAAGCAGCGTGGCAGCCGCCTTCGCCACACAGACAGCTGGGAACGGCGTGGCTGGGTCACGCACCGTTCTGATAACGACGACGCATTACGCTTGAAGGGACAGGTGTGTGAGTGTGTGTACGTGTGTGAGTAAGTGTGCAGCGTGTGTGTGTGTGGTTAGGCGTGTGAGAAAAACAACAGTCTCTCCTCGTCGATAATGATGGTGGTGTTGCTGCTGCTGCTGTTATCGTTGTTGGACCACTGCGTAGGGTTTCGCGGCTGTGCTGTACTGCTATCCCGTGCGTTGCACGGTTGTGCCACGTGTTGTTCGGCTCCATGTCCAACGTTTTGCCCCACGTGCCCGTGAGCTTCTTCGGGAACTAAATTCACTTCACTGAATGAACAACAACAGCATCATCGACATTTCACTTCACATGTGCTGGGCACTTCTTAGTGAAATTTAATCAATTCCACCCGCGTGTTGTCCAGCTGATTCGGGAAGTAAATTCGATTGCTGAAGACTCTCCCGGCACGTGGCTGCGAAATGTTGCAATTAGGTCGCGACCGCGGGCACTCGTTTCAGATGAGGTTGCTGGGGAACGAAGTCGGGAACTGAGAGAGTCCGGCCCCAGGGAAGCAGAGGGCACCGGGCAGGGGCAGCGAGGCGGCGGCGGCCGCGCGCAGGAGGCTCGCGTCCCGGTAGAGCACGGGCACACGCACGAGTCTGTGCGCCGCCGACACCTGCGCCAGGTTTGCGGCCTCGAGCTCGGCGGCGAGCTGGCGCTTCCACTTGTTGCGCCGGTTCTGGAACCAGATCTTCACCTGCGTCTCGGTGAGGTGCAGCGACGCGGCGAGCCCCGCGCGCTCCGCGCTGCTCAGGTAGCGCTTCATGTCGAACGTCGACTCCAGCTGGAACACTTGGCTCCGTGAGAACACGGTCCGCGTCTTCTTCTTGGGGGGCGCACGCGGGCTGCCGTGCTGAGGGGGGCTCTCGCAGGCCCTGTCCCCGGCCCGACACGCGGCGCTCTCCGCGTCCCTCTCCTCCGTCTGGGAGTCTCTGTCGTCCGCCGTGACCCGACTCGCCGAGCGCTTCTGCGGCGGGGCCTTGAAGTCCGGCGAGACCCTTTCGGCGACGTCGTCCGGGTTTGATAAATCTAAGGACGTCTCTTTGGTGGCTGCGGTGCAAAAAAAAAAATAGGCGTAAACAATACGGGCGTTAATTGCGAAAAAATAAACAATGTACTGGAGAGAGAGTCTCAGTTCTCACCAATTGACGAACGCCTCCCCGCCACGCAGTGCCGGGCATAGAGGGGGTTTTCTTGTACCATACTTTACCACACTGGTCAGCCAGTCTTCATTCGTTGGGCATATATAAAGCAACTATTCGAGATTGTAAGTTATTGACGAGTTATTCGATTATATCTTTATATGCAATTCACCAATTCTCGCCGTTATATATATTGATAAATCGCATTTACACCTCTGTCACGTTAAACTTTCGGACAGTGCGACATTAATATCGTCCATGATTTAGAGTTGTTAGTCGTAGTCGCACACAGGACCGCGGATCAGACACCACTCGCTACCGATGTTAGCCGTGGTCGGGAATCGAACTTCGGCCGTCTCGTTCATAGCGAAGCGCGCATACAATATGTTTTTCGCGTTGTCTCCTTCCCCCCGAAACACTAATAACCGTGTTGTGTTTCACGCGTCAGAATTATCTTCGTCATCTTGTTACGGAACGTGTTCGGACGTAGATCTCTGATTAAACAAACGAGTACGTTAGCACTGAAAGTGGCAGAAAATTATTCAATTCAAACTTTCCCGAGGCATATTTTACGTCCTCTCCGATAAGCTTATAAGCCTGACAATGTATTTTTAAAACAACACAAATTATTAATTACTTCGATCTAGACAATTAAATATTTACGGGGGAAAGGTCGCCGTTAAATATATTTCGTTCGGTAACAAGCGAATATATTCATGTTGTTGCGAATAAACAACCCAAATATACGGGCATACTCCAACAACGCAAATCTATATCAAAGCAACTGTAATACACACACACACATGTATGTGGCAATACTTAACTACAAAAAGTACACCCATGACATTGTGTTTATTCACTCGTTTATAACATCACTTCTATCTATTTGCTCCATAAACCTGTTCACTCTTAACCGGCAGACTCTTAACTGGCCGACCGTGTTGGTTAATTGTTGGCACACCTGTCAAATCAGCACTGCGAGTGGCTACATCGAGTTATCCACGTGGGCAATGCAATTATACTGACCATAAACTAGACTTGGGTGTGGAGCAATGGTCAATCTACTTGACACGGGTCCGCTACTGCTGTTACTACAACCGGGCGATCCCGAGAGCCTTGGTGGTGATGGTTGTAGTGGTGTTGCTACTGCTGCTGGTTATTGTTGTTGATGGCTGTTGGTGGTTTTTGATATTAGTTGTTGGTGGCGGTGGCTATTGTTTATTTAATGGTGATGATGGTTCTTGTTACAGTATTGGTGTTTTGTTGTAGTTGTTGGTGGTGTTTTGGTTGGCCGTTGGTGGTGGCGCTAGTGGTGGTGTTGATAATGTCAATGCCGGTAGTTAGTGTTGCTGACAGCTATTGTTAAGAGTGGTGGGTAGGGGGGGGGGGGTGTTATTCGCATTGGTGGTGGTGGTGACTGTTGGTGGTCATTGCTGGATCCTTCAGCTTTGCTCAACGCAGCCGCTGCTACCGTTACTATTGTTGTAGCCGACATCGACAGCAGCAGCAGCAGCATCACAACAAACCAGCCTGGCGCTCTGCTCTGCCCCCCCCCCCCCCACCTTACCGTCAGACGAGACGCTTGACGCGGGCGACACGAGCGCCTCGATGTCCGCCGCCTGCCCGGGGCGGCACCGTCCGGGGGCTGTCGCTCCCTGGAGCCGCTTCTTCTTCTTACACCCGCAGAGCGCCTCCCTCGCGCCCGCCGCGTAGTGGGGGCCGTTGCTCGACGAGAACAGGGACAGGTCGACGCCGGCCGCGGACAGCGGGAAGCCTCTCCACGCGTCGCCCTTGATGGCGCCTTGGCTCGGTCTCCTGCACGAGTCGGCCAGGTCCGTGCCCAGGATGCGCTGGATGCTGAACTTGGGCGCCGCGCTACACGGCGGGGACTGCTTGTCCGTCATTGCCCCGCGGGCATAAAGGCGCGCCTGCGCGAGTCGGTCTCTCGGGAAACTTTAGTTTGTGTTTCGTGATGAATCTTTGCTCTGTCCTCCTCCTCCTCCTTCGTTGTCGTCTTCTGTTGCCTTTCTTGCACTTCTATGATTATGTTTCAACCCTGTAGCGGGCGCGTAATGAGATACACTAGCTTCTATTTAAGTTGACAAGAGACAGACAGAGAGAGAGAATGACACACGTACACAGATTCAAACAAAACAAAAACCACCCCAAAACAACGAAGACGGAAGGCAAAGAGGAAGCCGGAGGAGTTAGTCAACGTGGGTTTTTTGGGGGGTTTTTTCCCCTCTCTCTCTCCCCCCCCCCCCTCCGCCACCACCCCCTGTATCGACGTTGCCTTAGCGGCCGTTTTCTTTGCAGGAGCGCGTCTGATGTTCTCGGAGCAGTCTTGGATTGGGCGCGCTGTTCCGAGGGAGCGAGGATTTGTCGCGGCCCGGGGGAGGGGAAGGCTCACGGAGCCAATGACACCGCTCGCCTCGCTCGACTCCTCGCTCTCCTCTTCATACATAATTACGGCGCTTATTAATAAAGAGGGGGGTGGTGGTGGTGGGGGGGGGGGGGGGGGCCCGCGATATTATACACACAAATGTGGCGCTGGGGGTTCTGGGGGTTTTTAACGCCAGCCCTTAAGAGGGCGCGCGGAGCGATCGCCGGGTTTGATGGAAGTTAAACCTGCGCTGGAACTTCATGTGTAATCGGTTTGCGCTGCTCTCCGTAGTGTATATATATATGCAGTACTGTACAGGGTGGTCCAAATATGATAACCTCCTTTCGTTCTATAAAAAGGTATTTTTTTTTCAAAGTAACGTTTATTTAAAACATGAATGGATATGCAGAGGGGAAAAATGTAGGTCAATTAAACGGGGGTCACAAGATATATCGAGCGCCTTGCGTACGCAGAACACGCGCGTGCGTGTGAATGCGCGACTGCTGCATTTGGGATAGACGCAGGAGTCCCATTATAGACTGTACAGCGGTCTGCTCGCACGGACATTCAGGATCGTGAGAGATGGCGACGGCGTGGTTCATGGGGAAGAGGGCCTTCAATCCAGCGGTGGTTTGATCATGTCCGATGATTAATCATGATGATCCCACACGCGTTACAATCACTGCAAAGCAAACATGCCATAAAGACCCCGTCCGGTTGTCGTGGCAAGTTGGGCACTTTGGTGGAATGTTTGGCACGTCCCTCCTAATTGCAACGATCTTGACGCTGTCATTACGATGCATCTTCTCTGAGCGTTTATGTACGCTGGCTTACTGTCGCAGTTTTTCTCCATTCTGGGTCTCAACTTTAGTGGTGCGTAATAATGCCACGCTCCAGCGAACACAACGACTCAATAATACATAGCCGTGTACATTTTTAAAACGCATTAAAAAAGATTTGTCCTATCGGGTTCGATGGGATCTATTTTGTAACTCTTTTTTTTACTCTGCATTGACATCGGCTTGCCACACTTCTACGCTCAGACACGAGTTTGAATATTGTATACGTCGCTGCAATATAATTTCTTTTAAAATATGAATTCTGAGCCATCTGCCGCGTTTGCGCGCGCACGCGTGGATCAATTCGTCACACTCCCACGTTAGCCTCACGTGCGAGCATCACGCCTGCGGTACGTATATTGCAGCATGTACAGCCAAGCCCTTTGTTAATCCACTGCTGGATGAAGGCCTCCCCAAGCCCCCGAATCAGTCGGGGTTATTTTTTTGTTCCTGGACCATACTTCAGCACGCTGGTTCAGTACCGGTTGCTTGTGGCCGGTTGGTTGTGGCTCAGCCGGCGTTGGCTGTGGCAAGAGAATCGAACTTTGGTTGCCGGGTTTTACAGCAAAGTTGCGCTAACCATGATGCCACCGCTCTACTCGTGCTATAGAGACCTATATACAGTACTATATATGAACCCACGGGTCAGCATTCACATACATTTATTTCAATATATTCGTTCTCATCGATGTGCGCTGTTGCTATTTCAACATGTTTCGAGAGCAGAGGATTATAGGTCATTCTGTCGTTTTTAGTGTCTTCTCAAACCTGAACGCCCCGTGCATTCAAATGTGTGTACATGTCTGTGTGCGTGCGCCATACATTTTGCATATTGACGATTAAACATGTATGCTTTATTTGAAACGGTGGCCAGAGAATGAGGACACAACTCTCTTCCACTCACACGTGTGTGAGTGTGCGCGTGTGCCTCTTCAGAAAGACCTTGCTCTTTGTGTACGCTGTGGCAGCTGCAACTGCTACTGCCGTTGCTACAAAGGCATGCTACTGGCGATGTTGCTAGTACTGCTGCTGTTGCTGCACCTGGTGCCACTGATGTTGCAAGTACTGCTGCTACCGCTACACCTGCTACTGCCGATAGTGCTAGTATTGCCGCTATTGATGCACTGCACCTACTGGCGCCAGTGATGCCGCTTAGCAGCTAGTGGAACTTACTGCAGCAGCAGTTGCTGCGGCTGTTCCTGCTGCTATTATTGCTGCTGCTGCTGCGTCGCTACAACTTCAGCTGCTAGTGCTGATATTTGCCGAGACTCCGACTGGGGCTGCACTGCTTCATGCGATTGTTTTGTTTTTTTGTTACGATTGCTTTTACTTCATGGCTCTACTGTGTTTTGTCGTGACCCAGGTCACTCGTGCAAATTCGATTATCCTGGCCTCCTTGACTACTCTTCTGCTTGACTAAAAATCAACTCGAACTGCTGCTGCTGCTGCTACTACTGTTGCAGATAATGCAACAACCGGTTCAATTGCTGCTGATGCAACAGCAACTGCTGCTTATGCATTTGATACTACAACCACTGCAACTGCTGCTACGGCCGCAACAGCTGATGATGATGATGATAATGCCGTTGCTACGACTACTGCTACTGAAACTACTATAACCACTCCTGCTGCTACTACTACTATAACAATTACTGCTGCTGATTTTGCTGCTACTGTTATAATCCACCTACTGATATGACCGACGCTGCTACTACTGAGACTCCTTTCACTGTGATGCTACTGCTACTCATGCAGCAACTAACGCTACTATTGCCACCACAATAACCTCCCTCCCTCCCCGCTCTACTACCGATGCTGCTACTGCCGCGCCAACTGCTGATGCCATTGTGAGCGCCTCCTTAGCGCCGGATTTATGTGGCACCCACGTGGCGCCGAGCCCCGCGGATCTGTGGCAGGTGTGGGCAATGTCACGCTCTGTTATGCGGTATTAACCCGGCCCGTGCCCCTTTTACAGAGCGTGAAATGTTACAAATGGCATCTTTACATCGCCACGGCGAGCCATTAATTAGGCTTCTGGACAGCCACTTGATCATGATTATTCGAATTGTGCCTCCTCTTTTGTGCTGGTGCACGTGATGTCTCTGCGGGGGGGGTGGAGGGGGGTGGAGGGGGGGGGGGCGATACGGGCAAGCTGCCCGTATTAGGGGCATTTATTCGCGTTGGTTGGAGGTTGGGTGGGGAGGGATCGAGTGGGTGGGTGGGGGGGGCCTAGCGAGCAATTAGCGTACGACCAGACATTTATTAATTTTATTTTATCCCTCCGTTTATGTAATCTTCAATTATGCGGCATTTATATGGCAATCGCACTTGAACCCCATAGCATGACCACGTGTGTATGGCGAATGCGTGATTTGAACCGTGGTACTATTTGATGAAAAAAATATATATTACTTTTAACGTATAACTGGTATTTATATATATGAAGCATGCACGTTTTCATACATGTTAATCATAATGTAGCAGTTGAATAAACATTTAATATCGCCAGACCGCATGGGATGGCGAAAGCGTGGGATAGGCCTTCATTCAGCAGTGGATTGGTCATAGCTGATGATGACCATCATCATTGTTTGCTGCATAGCATATTCAGGCCGCCACAATAAATATTGGACAAACATGAGCCGAACATCTAAATTGAGACTACAAAATGAACAGTAAGATCAACTAACGCGACAAATAGTTGCTTTAGATATATATAAAACGAAACAATACGCACTTCTTTCACGCTAAAAGTAATGCTCCAATTACATTTGGGCAAGCCGAGGCGAGAAATGAGCTATTTAAATGTAAATGACTAACGCTACAGTTGTGACATATGCGCAAAGTGAACTGCGCTATAACGCAGTGCTGACCGAGATAAATCTATCAGCTGCTTAAGTACGCTTCATTAGCAAGGGGCCAGAAAACGTAACTGATTAAAACAGGGCGTGAAATGTGAATTGACACGGGGCTTTCTACCCCATTAACCGTTGATTGCTCTCGCACTTTCGGATGATCTGCAAATCCACGCAAGCGCCCGTTTCGCTCCAATATTTGGGGCGCCACGGTTAGCAGACGGTAACTACCTCGCCTGGCGTACAGAAGGTCGTGGGTTCGATCCTGACCCTGACGCCTGTATATTTGGAGTTTGCAGTGTCTCTCTCCCTGTGGTTGCGTAGATGTTTTTTTTTTCTCCCTGGCAATCCAGTTTTTCCCTCCACATTTCAGAAACCTGCGTTTAGAGTATTTGGCAGCTAATCATTTCTACACGAGAAACAACTTCATTGAGCTCTCATTTGTGGCCGGGTCGCTACTGAAAAAGAGCTATATAGCTCAGTGGGCCTTACCTGGTAAAATACAAAAATAATCACTAGTTTGAAAAATTTTGCACAGAGCTCACAGCTTCCAAGCCTGGGTATCCCAAACTCAAGGTGTCCGAAACTCCAGTCTCCGCGACCCCATTCAAATACAAATTAACTCGTGCCACGCTACACGCACCCGATGATTGCTGAACACGTCCCACGTTACGCAATTAACGCTGTCCACGTTAATAGAGTCGATTCGAATTAAGCTTGATATCTGAGTGTGCGTGCCCGTGGTCTACGTGTCCCTTTAAACGTGTTCCGCGTGATGCAGGCAACGTGTACACAAGGAACTCACTTGAAATATATATATTTTTTACAAATTATATATGCAAATGTATGGGCTTGCGGCCTTCGTCCGTTTGTGGATCTAAAAATTGCTGAAATGTGTTTATTCTTTATTTTACACTGCAACCGCTATTTTACAATGCCGCGTTTGTCCTTTACAATAATGATGATAAAACAGAATTAGTTTTTACAGGAAAGCTTCACCGAGACGAAATACTCTTTGTCCACGAGGGTCATATACTGGGCTGTTGTTCATTAACATTTTAAAGGGGTGTTTTATTTAACCGAATAACTAGCAATCTATAGAGATTTACAATCACCTTTGAAAATGAGGCCACACAACAACCACTCGCCGCACACAAAGTGTGTACAATGACGGACGTGCCTGTGTGGTAACGTAGTGGTGAGCGCACTGCGCTACGAACCCGGGCCGTTTGAGTTCAATTTGCGCTCACGACCAAAACCAGTGGCGAATATTTGAACCGGTGCAGCGCCTCACCTACGTCGATTCAGCCTTAAACGAGTATCTGGTACGATATGTCAACTTCGCCACTCGGGAGACAAAGGCGGCCGGGCGTGGTGTTGGCCAGCGACTCCATCGTGTACCGATCT